ACACCTGCCAGGGCCACGCCCACCGCCCGCCACAGCCACGCCCACCGCCCACCCAGACAGACCTCATCCTGCAGATGAAGGAGCGCCTGGAGCCCATGCACATGCGCATGGACGACTGCTGCCCCTCCTTCTTCACCGTCCCGGTCTTCAGGTCCAGGATCCGGCCTGCGAGAGAGAGAGAGAGAGAGAGAGAGAGAGAGAGAGAGAGAGAGATGGAGAGCAGGGCGCGTGCATCAGCCTCGGGACGGGGGCGCCGGGGGAGGGGAGCTCGCTGCACCCGCTCTGCAATGAGGACCCGCAGGGTCCCGCCCACCCCTCCTTCCTGGGGTCCCCAACATCCTTTGGCAGGAAACGCACCGGGCGATGCACTCGTACAATCCCAAACGCCCGTGTTCTTTTTAAAAAATATATTTCTATTGATTTCAGAGAAGACGGGGGAGGGAGAGAGAGAGAAGCATCAGTGATGAGAGAGAATCATGGACCGGCTGCCTCCTGCACGCCCCCCACTGGGATCGAGCCCGCAAACCAGGCCTGTGCCCCGACTAGGAATCGAACCCCGACCTCCTGGTTCATAGGTCGACGCTCAACCACTAAGGCTTAGCTTTTAAAAAATAAAAAAGAAAGAAGAATCAGCAGTTTGTCTTGGATAAAATCATAAAGGAAGGCTGTGTGCTGCTACAACGGCTCCCCAGGCGACCACCGGAATACAAATAGAAATCAGAAGGCTTTCCTCAAAGGGACCCTGGAGAAAACAGGAAACATCTTATCTCGTCGTGTCTTTTGTTGTTTTTAAAAAAGGCGGCCAACGGAGATAGCCAGGGAGGAAAACAAGAGAAAAAGATTAGCATTAAAGCAAAGCCACGGCCCCCGGAGACGGACACGATCGGATGTGGTCCCACACACGATCGAGTGGCCCCGGAACTCGGGCCCAGAGGCGGGAGGAGACGCGGGCTGCTGCTCCAGCGACAAGGGGTTCTCCGTCCCCCGGGGCTGACCCCAGCCGCCCCAGCAGCTGTGCACACGGGGAACCAACGCCCCGCAGCCCTGGACCCACGCGGTGCACGTGAGGCCACGGCAGAACCGAGTCCAGAGCGGGAGCCGCGTGCAGAGCCGGGGAGACGCGGGCGCCCACTGCGGAGGGAGGGGGGCATGTGAGGAACCAGACGGGAAGGAAACGGAGACAGCCAGCCACATGGAGCAACAGACTTCTATTCTGTTTTTTAAAAAAATATATCGTCACCCGGCCAGTGTAGCTCAGTGGTTGGGCGTCGACCTGTGAACCAGGAGGTCAGGGTTCAATTCCCGGTCAGGGCACAGGCCCGGGTTGCGGGCTCCATCCCCAGTGTGGGGCGTGCAGGAGGCAGCCGATCCGTGCCTCTCTCTCATCATTGATGTTTCTCTCTCCCTCTCCCTGCCTCTCTGAGATCAATAAACATGTTTTTTAAACACTATTGTCCAAAGGGCGCATGGAGGCTCGGGGACACGCAGAGGCTAGAGGGGAGCGAGAATGGACTGACTCCGTTGGACAGAAACTTCCAGACTCAGCTCCCATCTCACTGCAGTGGGACCTCGTTTCTCGAACGTCTCCCGTCTCCAACAATCAGCTTCTGCCCCACCCCACAACCTTTCACGCCGATCCCTGTAGGACCAGTCACACGTCTCCCAGGTGACGGACAGGAGAGAATGCGGGAGCAGGAGTCAGTTCACCGAGGTTAGAATCTCAGGATGCTCTCATGGGACTATTCTGGTGATAGTTATGCTTTCGTGGCTGCGTATCGTTTTTGTTGAATTTTCTTTTTTTTTTTACTGTACGTTTCCCTTTCCTTTTGATTAAATTTCCATTTACATTTCATGTCCTTTTTTTGTTGTTTATTTTAATACACTAGAGGCCCGGTGCATGAAATTCGTGCACGGGAGGCGGGGAGGGTCCCCTCAGCCCGGCCTGCATCCTCTGGCAATCTGGGACCACTGGCTCCTACCCACTCACCTGCCTGCCTGCCTGATCGCCCCTAACTGCTGGCCTGCCTGCCTGATCGCCCCAATTTTCAAGTTCCTCCAGCAATGGCAGCTTCAACGTATAGCATTGCCTGTAGTTGCATAGGTAACTTCCTTGAAGACACTAAGTTTTACTTTTGTTCTATTGTTAGTCCTGTTCCATCATAGGTATTCTTCATGCATTTGTACTCTCAGGTGTGCATATCTATATCTGTATGTACATATCTGTTAATCATGGTATGCATTCTTATTTATTTACTAGAGGCCCAATGCACAAAAATTCATACAACAGAAAGCTTTCCTTCCCCTGGCTGCCAGCACCAATTTCCCTCTGGGACCCAGGCTGCTTCCCTCCTCAGGCCACCCACAGGCACCCAGGACCCAAGCTGACTTCCCTCTGGCCCTATCTTCATCAGGAAGGACATCTGGAATGACGTCCGGAAGATGTCTGGTCTATCCGGTCTAATTAGCATATTACCCTTTTATTAGTATAGATGTTTATTGATTTCAGAGAGGAAGGGAGAGGGAGAGAGAGATAGAAGCATCAATGATGAGAGAGAATCATGAATCGGCTGCCTCCTGCACGCCACGCCCCCCACTGGGGATCGAGCCCACAACCCGGGCATGTGCCCTGACCGGGAATCGAACCCTGACCTCCTGGTTCATAGCTCGATGCTCAAGCACTGAGCCACGCCGGCCGGGCCACTCTCTCCCTTTTGTGACCAACGAAGATGGAGGCTGGGGTTTGGGTTGGGACTTGGACCTATGGCCCTGGAATTACAAAAGGCACCAAAGGCTCCCAGCCCCTGAGCAGGGCTGGCCCAAGGGACTGAGCGGGGTGGCCCCAGGCCCAGGGACACTCAGAGGAGCCGGCCTGCCCAGCTGTGTCCCATGCACATCTCCCCGCCCCGCCACCTGGGGAGGCGCTAACGAGAAGCTAACGAGGCGGCCAGGAGGGCAGCCGGGGCTGCACAGACCCTCAGAGAGAATCATCCCAGGCGATGACAAGGCCAAGACCGGGAGGTGAGCCCTGGCCGGTGTGGCTCAGTGGATAGAGCATCGGCCTGCAGACTGCAGGGTCCCGGGTTCGATTCCGGTCAAGGGCACGGACCTCGGTTGCAGGCTCCTCCCCGGCCCGGGCCCTGGTCGGGGCGCATGCAGGAGGCAACCCATCAATGTGTCTCTCTCACATCGATGTTTCTCTCTGTCTC